GGTACACCCAGCGCCGCCAGAAGGGCTTTATGCGCCTCCGCATTACATAAGGCCTCCACGTGCGCGTGGACGGGGGATGAGGCGATGTTCGCGAGGGCCCAGGCGGCATCGAGCTGCGTCCCGGAGTGGGGGGCCCGGGGGGGGAGGGAAAGGGGGGGGTGTAAGAAGGAGTGTGTGTAAGAAGGTCGAATTAGAGGCTTTTGTTGTTGCCGATCTGTCCAAACCATCACCAACAACGAATAAAGCTGCAGCAATGTACATATATACATACATGCATGCATACATAGATATATATAAACATACCTTGGCCGGTGTGGGGCCTTCTTTGAGGCATCGGACCAACGCCGCCGCCACGCCCGCGTCCAAAAGTGCCTGTATGGGCGGCGCTGCCGTACACAGCAATTGTCGTACATGTGCTGCTGCCGCCGTGGCGGCGGCGGCCTCGCCGGAGGCCAGCTGCCGTATTTGTTCCATGGCACCTTCCGGCTGTTGTCCGGGGGGGGAGAAAGATGCGGGGGGAGGGGTGGGGGAGAGGGGTGGGAATCATATTTGGTCGGGAAAGGGGGGGGGGGAAATCGCATGCGCTGCAAGGAAATCAGATAAATGACCACGGTGCTGCCGGAAGGGGTCCCAAAGGTCCGATACCGCCCCTAGGGAGGGAGTTATGAGCGATGTCAGGAAGTCATTGACCCGAGGGTTGGGGGGGGAGAAGTCATTGAGCCGTGGTTATGAGCGTCACCATGCCCTCCTCCTCCGTCTCCATACCCGGGGAGGGCGGGGGTATGGAAAGACTGAGTCGTGCGGCACGGCGGACGTGGCGGGTATGGCGGGTGATTCGGGGCCCCCAGTTCAAATGCTTTCGCTGCTACGCCAGCAACCCCCAAACCCGGCCACTGGTTCCAAAACCACAGACATGCAGACAGGGACACAGACAGGCATACAGACAGGGATACAGACAGGCATACAGACAGAGCCTGCACATGAATACATACATACAGAAGCGCACAGTCACGGACAACAAGCGGACACGTACCAGCTCTGATGAGCTGCTGGGCGCCAGTGGCGGCGGCGGTGACAGGCAGGGCACGTGCGCTCCCTCAGCTAGCTTGGGAACCTGCAGAGCCGGGCGGGAGGAGGTGTCGGGGACGTGCGGCGCTGTCGCCGCTGACGCCGCCACACCAGACTTCTTTGGCGTCTCTGGACGAGATCCCGCCGCCGCCGGCGCCGCCGCCGCCACTGGCGTTTTGGGGCTTTCCTTAACGGCCTTGGGCGACTCTTTCGGAGCTGCTTCCCCTCTCGGTGGTGACGTTGACGGCGGTGGTGGCGCTGGCGCCGCTGCTGGCGCCTTTCGGGAGTTATTGCTGGCAGCTGCAGGCTGCTCCTTTTGCAGCTGTTGTTGCTGTTGTTGTTGTTGTTGTTGTTGTTGTTGTGTCGTGTTTGCCGCGGTACTCGAGGCACCTGTGTGTGCGGGTGGAGTAGAGGTAGGCGTGATCAGCAGATGGCTTGATTGTGCGGTTGGTTGTGCGGGGGAACTTTCCACAGAACACAACACAACAGGACAGGACAAGGGCTGAGGGGTTGAGACGACCCTGACTTCACGGTGTTGTGGCACAGAGCTGGTAAACCGCTTTTCCCTCCTCAACCTTGACACGAATTTGCCCCCCCCCCCAGGCGACGCCTCCTCCCCTTTTCGGGGCTTTCTCGGGTGTTGCCGCGGACGACTGGCCCTACACCCTGAATGGATTTAACTCAGGTTCCAGAGAATTGAAATTGGATTTGGATTCTGATTTGGATCCTAATAGCTGCTTCGGAGGAAGGAGCTAGGGTTTAGGCTGGTTTTCGTTGCGGACTGCTCGCTCTGCGCTTACCTCGACTCCCTACGTCGTTGAGGTCAGGTTGCTGCGGGGACGGGGGAGGGGCAGGGGAAAAGGGGGATGTGGGGAATCCGTTGTGTGTGTATGTGCGTGTGTGTGAATGTGCATGTGTGTGGCTAAGAGGGTGGAACGCAAGGGAAGCTGCTGCGGAGGTAGGGTGAGCTGTGGCGGCTGGCCGTTTGGTCAGACCTGGGGCGCGGGTGACAATGAGTGCCCACGTCAGGTAGACATTGGTGCGACTTTAGAAGGTATGAGATGTTAATTGGATTCGGTGTCTTTTCCTCGCACTTTGCGCCTAGCCGAGTCGCGAGGACAGGTGGCAGCTGAATCGCCATTCGGGTGCGCCGACGGCCCTTCGCGCACCTTGCATTTTCGATCCATGGACATAATTACAGAATCATGGATTTTTCGACGCCCAAGACTTGCAGTTTTTTCGTAAGGGGCTAGTACAAGACGCCCCTGACCGCGCGACAGTGATGACGAATGCACAAAGGTTAGTCGGGGCTATCAGTAAGGTAATAATATATAGTTATATTATGCGATTAAATTGCACACTTACTTTAGGTGTCATTGGTTCTTCTGCAGTCGCGGGCTTCGGCCCAGCGGCTGCGCTACCCTTAGTCGACGAAGCTCCGCAGCCCTGAAACATGACAGCATTGGACCTGTTACCTACAAGGTTGGTCCAGGCATCGCCGTCACAGGTCTAAGACAGGACACTAACCATTTTCGCTCAATTGCGCAGGCTCCAAGAAACAGATAGCTTTTAGTCTTGATCTAATAAATCGTGTCCTCTATCACAAGTTAAGACAGGTAAGCAATAATTCTGCAGCAGCGGAGGACCCTTCGAGAGCGGAACGCAAGGGCAAACTAAAAGTCCTAGTTTTATTACGTGAAGTTATACAACGGGATTTGTAGTGTTTTTTCTTTGTGGATATGGAAACTCGCTTTGTCCTAAAAGCCGGTGTACTCCGCTGTACTGTTACGTGGCTGTACGATGCTGTAAATCTAGCCCTCGATCACTTGATGCTCATGCAACTACCATGAATCATTTTATATAACTTTAAGTTAGACTCCCATAAATTAATCCGCATGCAGTATGCGACATGAATAAACTATTAGGTAAGCCACATCGGTGGCGCGGATTGGTTGATCGTCTACAGGAGCTCCAGCGGCACTTGCAAAAGAAGATAGTCGTATTTTCTCTGGTATACTCACATAAAGCCCGTATTAATGTGCATTTTCTGCTCATCTACATGCTACCTCCCCTACTACCTACCTGGTTTCTATCTTCGATTCACCTCCAGCACTGTTTCATCACCCATAAATCTTCCCAAACTGTACATGTTCAAACCTTTTGCTGGCAATCCGTCGATGGCTGAACGCCGTTGCGCTGCAGGAATGCCCTGCATAAGCCCCTGGATTGACGAGTCCATTACCCAGTCCGTTGGAACATCAGAATGGTAAAGGGGGATTTGCTGGTCACCGCATGGAATCGTCAAGTACAGGCCAAAGCTTTCCCCGGCTGATTCAAATACCCCTCCGCTCTCCCGCGCGAAGTGAGCAGCAGATAGCTTCATCCGACTATTGCTGCCGATCATCTCCAAACGCAAATCCGCCTCCCGCAGCGTGCGTCGTTAGCACAGCCAAATCATTTCTTCTTCCTGCGCTAGCTGTGTACGGCCACATCTTTTCTCCAGGAGCCCTTTTCCAAACAAACCAGCAGTCCTTCTCTGGTGTTTCCATAGAGCAAAGAGCAACTTACAGTGCGATCGCGAATGCTGTATTTGTGACAGCGGCACCGTCCTCGTGGAGTGTGAAATTCAAATGGCAAATCCTAACAGTTCGCAGCCGCTTGTGACGGTAAAACGGCGACATTGCGTGTGATTGCAGTCATTCCCGCGAGCGACGGGAAGAACAACACCGGCGGCGTCCTCCTCGTCTGTGTGTGAAGATCAAAGGCCTTGGATTGAAGACACACATTCACGAGGTCGGCTGCCAAACCCCAAATCATATCTGTGCATGTGCACGAAGCGTACACCTGCTGAAGCCCTGAGCCAGTGACGCTGGTGGCATGGCTTTTGCCGAGTCCGTCACGGATAAGGGCCCCCGGCGTGTGCTGTGCAAGCACTTGTAGCCGTTCTGGCTCCGCTGTAAGGATTGCCTTATGCATGCGCACGAAACACAAACGTACGAGCACCTGTTGGACGTTAAAAAATTGTATTTAAAAGCATGGACGCGCTCGTAGATCCTAAATATGAGCGGCGCAGTGTGAACCGGGGCCTGCGTCGGTACAACATGTGAGATCCCCGTAAGGCCCATGCGATCAAGCTTACCTTTTGTCGTACTTTGTATGTTACATAGTACGACTATACGACTACTGAAACGGTTTATATCCGTACCCCTCAGCATGTAATCCTCTACCCTCCAATCCTCCGTATCCTCTATGCTACCCTCGGAAAAAAAATGGTTATGATGCATTTACGATGCATTTAAGATGCATGTATGCATGTATGTATATATGTATGTAGTCGGTGGGCACGTCCATTGAGGGACTCTTTGCATGCCTTGCAGTACACGTTCTCTCAACCATCCTCAACTAAAAACTCCCCAACCGCCGGAAAAAGCTGGAACAAGGAACGAACTCCTCCTTCTTAAGATTCAATGGCTAAAAGCTATTGAAGAACTACAGCCTTTGAAGCGCCGTACAGCCCTCTACCGGCCACCCCCTGCACCAACCGCCCTACGCAGCCGGCTCAACAAGCCGCCGGCAGCAGCGGCGGCTGCGACGGCAGTTGCAGAACCCGCCTTGTGCGATACGGCATGTCGTAGGGAGAGGTACGTGATGAGATGCAGGACCGCCCAGTAGGCGAACAGGTAGCCCACTGTCGTACCGACGGGCACGTTGATGCCAAAGTTGGATAGCAACGCGTTGGTGTCTACGACACAGTTGTCGTACGACTGCGTCATGCCAACCCTGCGGGACACAAATGTACCAGCTCGTGCTCAGTCGGCGCTGACGACTAAAAGCAAAATATACGTACATAAATTGCATTTACATACATACACAATTTTAACAGCAAAAATAATACAAGCATTCAAAAGCAAAACAAATGGCAACAAAAGCAACATTAATGTCCTTCTCCACTTGCTGCATCAACCATGATTTCAAGACCACTCGCCCACTCCCACAACCATGCACCTAGCCACCCTCCGCCACGCTCCGAAACCCAAACCTTAGGAATCTAAGCCCTCCGCCCTCCGCCCTCGGCAAGGCACACCCCGTACCACCTCCCCTACTACCCCCCACCCGCAAACTCAGCCCCACACTACCACCACTCCTCCCCCCCCTTCCCCCCCAGCTGGGTAGCCCACTCACGCAATCATTCTGAACCTCCTGTTGTCGGGCAGGAACTCTGGAAGCAACCCGAGCGCATCCGTACCCAGGAAACCCGGGGTTCCCGCGGGGCCGCACTCGAAGGCACGGTTATGAAACTCGGCCCACATAAGGCCCCGCCAGGAGTGGTCGAGCGCAGAGAGGGCGCGAAGACGGCGGATCCAGGAAAAGAAGAGCTTGACTGCATTTGGGTTCGTACGGTGTCGTACGGGATTTAATGATTTGCCGTACGGTACTGCAGTATTCAGCACGTATGAAGGCAGGCAGGTAGCTAATAAGGCGTTTATGGAACTCCTTGGTTTAATTGCCTTTAAACACCCTGGGAGGGATCTGCTTGCGCCCAACAGAAGAAGGAGGAGAAGAAGGAGGAGGAGAAGAAGAAGAAGAAGATGAAGAAACACACCGCTCTACAACCCCTAAAATCGTCACACATAAAACCGAGCCAAGAAGGCATTTAAAGACCCCTAAAACCGCTAAAACCCCTAAAACCACCAGGAGTGCACACATGACTCGCACCCAACAGAAGTCAGGGTTCAACCACAGCCCTCCATACCTGGCTGATATATAACGGTCTCAGTGTCTAACAGAAACATATACGACGATAGAATGGCAACATGAGCATGAATACGAACAACAAGGCCAAATCGGACGAGAAAAAATAAATCTGTGGACATGACCAGTCTACAGGCGGTCACATCACTAAATTTTCTGAAGGTAGCACTCGCTCATACGAGGGTGGGAGATGGAAAAGACGAGGGTGCCCCAAAACAGAGGGGGGCATTACGGGGGGAGTATTGCGGGCTGCAAGGCGCGGGCTTGCGGCCTCACGGGAGACCCCTATTCAGGCAATAAAAGAAGTAAAATAAATGAATAATGATTAATAATAGCTAAAAAAACCTATTCCCAGCAATAAAAAAATAAAAATTAATGAATAATAATAATAGCATACAAGCCTGGATCTACACTTCCCCCCCCCCACACACACACGCAACACACAACACACACTCGCACTCCGCGTCAAGACTCATACATACGAATATAAGCAAGCTCGAGACTCACAGGTCCCAAGGAACTGGGTACTCAGCAGCAGGTTGAGCACCACGAAGCCCACGGATGTGCAGAAGGCCAAGTCCTGATTAGGCGTGATCGCCACAGCGAACTGCGCGCGCAAAATGCATTTTTATATATTGACAGTGTACGACAGTGTACGGAAATGTATATATGTATTTATTCTGGTGTGTACATACATGTATATATGTATATATGTATATATGTATATATGTATGTATGTGTGATATTTGTGGCATTGTTAGTGATACTGGTTTAGTGGTGGCCAGGTGGTCTTTACGAGGGTTGCAAGTCCGCGACAGTGCGGTGGGGGGACGTGTGCGTGGCAGCTACGTTGAGGGCACCCTTACGGACCGCCAATTGCCATTATTGGAGCGCCCGAGTCGGGATGTGTGTGTTAGTGGTAGCGGCAATTGTAATGGTGGTGGTAATGGTGGTTGTGGTCGCGATGTGGTGTGGTGTGGTGTGCAATTCAAAGCTGAGAAATCGCCCGGTGGGTTTGAAACCACCTTTTTTGGTCCACAAACTACCACAATACAAATGGTTGTTGGAGGAGGACGGAAAATCCTTCCCAATGCGATTGATGATCAGGTGGGTTGGTTGGCTGGTGAATCTCAAGGGGTCAGGCGGCCAGATCAGGGGGGTCCGGTCAATCAGGGGGAGGCCAGGGGGAGATGTTTTGCAGGCGTGTACGACCAAACTAAACTAAAGTTTGACCAATACAGGGGGCCAACTTAGGGACGGCGAGCCGCACCTGAATGAATTGCAGAGAGATCAGCGACATCAGTACGGCACACGTCGTGTTTTGTACGGCGGCCAGCACGCTGTGTCGGTACCCGATCATGCCGTACCTGTTAACGGCGAGGAAGACACGTCACACATACACACACGTGTTGTATGTTGTGCCCGGAGGTTGTGGGAGGCGGGGGCGATTTGTTCAGCAGCTGCAGCAGAAATCCTTCCCCCCCCCCTCGGGTCTTATTATATTTTGCGGTATTTTCTGCTGCTACTGCTGCTACTGCCGCGCCTGCGATTCCTGCCGCTACCTCCGCTACCGGCGGCATCTGCTACCGCCGGTGGAGGATGTCGTCATGGTGGTGATGCGTGATTCTCTGTTTCTAGTCAAACCTCTACCCCCCCACGGCGGGGGGGGGGGCTCCTACGGGTCCCAACTCCCCTCCCTCGGAAGGAGGGGCTCCGGACTCAACTCAAGTCAACTCAAGTCAACTCAAGTCAACTCAAGTCAACTCAAGTCAACTCAAGTCAACTCAAGTCAACTCAAGTCAACTCAACTCAACTCAACTCAACTCAACTCAACTCAACTCAACTCAAGTCAACTCAAGTCAAGTCAAGTCAAGTCAAGTCAAGTCAAGTCAACTCAACGCAACGCAACTCCACTCAACTAAGCTCCAGCGGCCAACATCTTCTGCCCCTAACCCGGCGAGGTGGGGAGGTAGGGGGCACACCGCCCAGCTCAGCCCATGATACTCTGTATGTATGTAGTTGGATTCTGTTAAGGGGTTCCGCCACGGG